TTTCCTATTCATTCGTGGGATGTGGGCGTCGCTGGCTGGCCAGCATTTCTTGCCCGTCCCTAGTTGCCCTGGAGAAGGTGGTGGTGAGCTGCCTTCTTAAACCACTGCAGTCCTCCTGCTGTGAGTTGACCCACAATGCTATTAGGGAGGGAATTCGAAGATTTCGACCCAGCAACAGTGAAATAACGGCGATATATCGCCAAGTCAGGATGGTGAGTGACTTAGAGGGGAACTTCGAGGTGGTGGGGTTCCCATACGTCTGATGCCCTTGTCCTTCTAGGTGGAAGTGGTCGTGGGTTTGGAAGGTGCTGTCTGAGGATCTTCGATGAATTTCTGCAGTGCATCTTATAGATAGTACACACTGCTGCTATTGACCGTCGGTGGTGGAGGGAGTGAATGCTTGTGGATGTAGTGCCAATCAAGCAGGCTGCTTTGTCCTGGATGGTGTTGGGGCTGCACTCATCCAGGCAAGTGGGGAGTATTCCATCACACTCCTGACTTGTGCCTTGTAGATGGTGGACAGGCCTTGGGGAGTCAGGAGGTGAGTTACTCGCCGCAGGATTCCCAGCTTCTGGCCTGCTCTTGTAGCGACTCTGTTAATGTGGCGAGTCCAGTTGAGTTTCTGGTCAATGGTAATTTCCAGGATGATGATTGGGGGGGATTCAGTGATGGTAACACCATTGAATGTCAAGAGATGGTGGTTACATGGTCTCAGACTGGCATTTGTGTGATGCAAATGTCACTTGCCACTGTTAGCCTAAGCCTGGATATTGTTCAGATCTTGTTGCATTTGAACACGGACTGCTTCACTATCTGAGGAGTCACGAATGGTGCTGAACATTGTGCAATCATCGGCGAACATCCCCACTTCTGACCTTATGATGAGGAAAGGTCATTGATGAAGCAGCTGAAAGTGGTTGGGCCGAGGACACTACGCTGAGGAACTCCTGCAGAGATGTCCTGGAGCTGAGATAATTGACCTCCCACAACCACGACCATCATCTTATGTGTCAGATATGACTCCAACCACCAGACAGTTTGCCCCGATACCCATTGATTCCTGTTTTGTTCGGGCTCCTTGATGCCACACTTGGTCAAATCCAGCCTTGATGTCAAGGGCTGCCACTCTCACATCACCTCTGGAATTCAGCTCTTTTGTCCATGTTTGAACCAAGGCTGTAATGAGATCAGGAGCTGAGACACTCTGGTGGAACCCAAACTGGGCGTCACTGAGCATTATTGTTGAGCGGGTGCTGCATGATAGCACTGTTGATGACACCTTCCATCACTTTACTGATGGTCAGGCTGATGATAGGTCCAGTAGTTTAAGCATGTTGTTCCCATTTCCTTGCCAGTTTGAGCGTGTTGCACCCGTAGGTCTCTAAGGTTTTGGAGTAGATTTGTAGCTCGGGTTATGGGTGTTGAGGTTGGTTGGCTCGCCGAACTGGTTTGTTGTTCCGCAGACGTTTTGTTACCGTGCTTGGTAGCATCCTCAGTGCAGAACCTATGGATCCAGTACTGGACCTATGCCTGACCATCCACTTCACCTTCAACGGCCAAACATACGAGCAAATCAACGGGACACCCATGGGATCGCCTATCTCCGGACTCATAGCAGAAGCAGTGATGCAAAGACTGGAAAGGACTGCCCTTCCACAAATCCAACCTATCGATAAACTATGGATACGCTACGTAGACGACACCTTTGTCATCATTAAACGGACCAAATTAGAAGAGACACACAAACTCAAACAACACCCTCACCAGAATAAAATTCACCAGAGAGGAGAAGAACAAACAACTCCCATTCCTGGACGTCATGGTAGAGCGCAAGACAAATGGGGAACTGCAAACGAAAGTACACCGAAAAGCCACACACACAGACCAGGTATTGAACTTCAACAGTAACCATCCCAGCACACACAAACGAAGCTGCGTGCGAACACTATTTAAAAAGGCAACAACACACTGCAGCAACATGGAACTACGCCAAGAGGAGGAGGAATACCTCTTCCAAGTGTTCAAGGATAATGGATATCCAAAGAACTGGGTCAGGAGATACCTACAGGAACAGCATCAGAAAGATTCTACACGCCCCGACACACTCATCACACTACCCTACATCAGGAACACGTCAGAACTCACCACAAGACTTCTACAACCACTGGGCATCAGAGTGGCACACAAACCCACATCAACCCTACGACAAGTGCTGACCCGAACTAAAGACCCACTCCCCGCCATGGACAGGACCAATGTCATCTACAAGATCCCCTGCAGAGACTGCGAGAAACACTACATCGGACAAACAGGAAGAAAACTAACAACAAGAGTACATGAACACTAACTGGCTACAAAAAGACACGATCAATACTCACTCATCTCAATCCACATGGACAAGGAGAACCACGACTTCGACTGGGACAACACCAAGATCCTGGTACAGGCTAGGCAGAGACAAGCACAAGAATTCCTGGAAGCATGGCACTCCATGAAGCAGGCTATTAATAAACACATTGAACTCGACCCCATATACATTCCACAACGGAGGAAACCCGGAAGTGAGGCAATCCATCGCAACGGACCCCAGAGTTTAAAAGCCAGGCTGGAAAACACACCGACGCTTCATCAGAGGCTGCACTGAGGATGTTACCAAGCACGGTAACGAAACGTCTGCGGAACAACAAACCAGCTCGGCAAACCAGCCAACCAACCTCAACACCCACAACTCGAGCTACAAATCTACTCCAAAACGTTAGAATTCTGCTGCTGTTGATGGCCCACAGCGCCCCATGGATGCCCAGTCTTGAGTTGCTAGATCTGTGCGAAGTCTGTCCCATTTAGCACGGTGATAGTGCCATACAACACGATGGAGGTTGTTCTCAATGTGAAGGTGGGACTTCATCTCCACAAGGACTGTGCGATGGTCACTCTTACCGATACAGTCATGCACAGATGCAACTGCAGCTGGCAGATTGCTAAGGATGAGGTCAAGTGTGTTTTTCCCTCACCACCTGCCGCAGACCCAGTCTAGCAGTTATGTCCCTAGGGCCCGACTAGCTCGATCAGTAGAACTGCTGCCGAGCCACTCTTGGTGGTGGACATTGAAATCCCCCACCCAGAGTACATTTTGTACCATTGCCATCCTCAGTGCTACCTCCAAGTGCTCTTCAACACTGAGGAATGCTGATTCATCAGCTGAGAGAGGACAGTATGTGGTAATCAGCAGGAGGTTTCCTTGCCCACGTTTAACCTGAAGCCATGAGACTTCATGGGGTCTGGAATCAACGTTGAGGACTCCTACTGCAACACCCCCGACAACTGTATCCCACTGTGCCACCCCCTCTGCTGGTGGGACAGGACACACCCAGGGATGGTGATGGTGGTGTCTGGGACATTGTCTGTAAGGTATGATTCTGTGAGTATGACAGTGTCAGGCTGGTGCTTAACCAATCTGTGAGACAGCTCTCCCAATTTTGGCACTAACCCCCAGATGTTAGCGAGGAGGACTTCGCTGGGTCGACAGGGTTGTTTCTGACGTTGTCTTTTCTGGTGCCTAGGTCAATGCCAGGTGATCCGTCCAGTTTCCTTTCTTTGAGTCTTTGTCGTGACTGGTACAACTGAATGGCTTGGTAGGCCATTTCAAAGGGCAGTTGAGAGTCAACCACATTGCTGTGGGTCTGGAGTCACATGTAGGCCAGATTAGGTCAGGGTGGCAGACTTCCTCCCCGAAGGACATTAGTGAATTACACCTGCGTTTTCAGAGCTGTGACTTTAAAATCAGTATATGTCAGAGACAGCAGAGGACAGCAAGGATCCCAGGAGCGTTTATTGAAGTTTGTTTCTATTGTGGGGGTTACAACAGGAGAGAGAAAATACAGCTATTAGCTTTAGCAGAATTTACGATGGAACAAGTTGTTTTTAAAAACATTGAAAAGCTTTTGGGTTCAGTTTAAAGTAGACCTGACCAAAGTCAGATGCATATAGACTCTCCTAGAAAAGGAGGTTGTTCAGAGCAGTTAAGGGGGTCAGGTTATCGCAGAGTAAGGGTTGCAGTTTGTCAGTACTCCCAGACCAGGAATGTCTGGATAGAATGCTGTGGATTATTCAAAGCTGAGAAGGTTTAAGCTCTCAGGTGTGAGCATTTTCAAGGAAAAGGACTCTACATTTCACAGGCCATGAACGGAGAATCAGCAGTTAAGTCAAACCTACAGATTGAACAGGAAGGAAAATTTCCCTGGATTCTGGTTAACCGTAAAGTGATGGCCTTGGGTTGTACATGAGACTTTGTTTTGCCTCGTGTTTCAAACTCTTACACGTGAACAGCTTAATTTGTTTCATTTTCTTTGTAATAAACGTGCTTACGGTTAAAACACAAGCTGCAATTTGGTATACGTCTGTTTCAGAAAAAGGACTGCATGTTAAATTTAAAAAAAGATTTCATTCCAGGATCTGATTTGTCCAGTAGTAAGATTCACTGGGTTCTCTTTTGAGGGTTAAATCTTATTCGTACCACAGAGGTCAATGCCTTAAACATGTAATTATTGCTTCCAATTGGTTAGTCATGATATAATAATTATTTCTGGAATTTTGAAACACTCCATGAATGGAACATTTAATTAAATGGTTGCTTTCTGCACATGACCAATCGATTACCAATCTGTTATAAATACTGAATAAATATTAAGTAAATAACAACCATCAACAAGTTTCAAAAACTGTATAAATACAGAAGGCATTTCAGTAGTTGACAAAAAGCAGCAATAGTCAGGTGATTCTAATGAGCACACAGAGTGAAACATGTCTTGCCTTAAGTAAATTAAGTATGATCAAATTCTTCCAAGCTTCCATCCAATAAACTCTACCATTATTTTTAAAAAGGATCAAACATCTATAGTTATAGACTATTTCACTTTAAAAATCACTACAAGTTTAACAACTTTAACAATTCCAAATAGTTGACCTCATTTTTGTATTAAAATCAAGTATTAAATACATACCAGAACTTCATTAGTGTCTCCATGTTCAAAGTATTCTTGCACAATTGGAGTCACAGTTTTCTGAAAAACCCCTTCATCTAAGGGTAGAACCACTGTTTCATACACGCAATTCTCCTGTTGAAATTTATAACAGAACTAAAATCTTGTTATCAAATGGTATTGTCAACAGAAACAAATTCAGAATAAGTTGGCACCCTGCTGACACTACAGGGCCACTTGGTGATCTGCTGATTAGAGAGAAATAGACATGGTATAAATTAATACAGAACAGAACACAGATTGCTTTAAATATGTGACAGTTATATGGCTTTGTGGGATTTTATCCCCTCACCATCTCCTTAAGGTAGTAAGCTCCATAAGGAGCAAGTTAGTTAACTTTCAGATGTTTCACTTGCGTGTGAATTTCTGTTACATGCATCTAGTGTTACTAATCATGTGTTTTAAAAAAAAGACCAAGCCTGACCTTAGGGTGAGACAGTAAGTGTACTTGCCTTGGGGTAGATAAAGATGTCACTACACTGAACAAAAAGTAGGAAGCTCTCCTGTTTTCTGGTCAATACTTCCCTCAATCAATATCTCTCAACAACAGAAAGTGTATCTCTCAGCATTTTATACGATCTTACTGCGTACAAAATGATTCATTCACAGAAACTGTGATCTCTTTGTGAAGCAATTCACTGAAAACAGCTCAAGATATCATTAAAGATATACAGGCACCAGTATTCCTTTCGTTCAACTTCTGGAAAATTCATTTAGTATCAGTACCTCAGTCAATCTTCAGTTTTGGGATATGGAGATCTATTATAGTGCACCCACCACTGATGGACAAGATTAATTATTTCACTGCAGTCTAGGGAACTACATAGTTCAGTAACACATGCAGCACATTATCGAGTTTTATTGGAGACAGTTAGGTGGTGTGCTGGTGGAAGGATAGATTAAACAAAGCGATCACATTTGGTATGAAGAACCAAGTTCAATTCTAAGCTCTACCAGTTTCTGGAGTCATCATCATGATTACATTCCAAGAACTTCTACCATGCAAAGAACAAGGAACGTGAATAAACTTGGCGATCTCCATTTCAATCTTACAAACTATGGGAAATAATTTATTATCCTGGAAAATACTCTTAAATACTAAGGAAAGGAACAAAGTAAGTTTAAAAAAAAGGGTGAAGAAATAGAACTAACCATAGGTTATTGGTTAAATCATGAACAACCAAAATTTTAAAAATTTAGGTATCTGATGCTTAATATCCACTCACCTGATCTTCTTCATAATTGGGATCTCTGACATCCACTTCCTCCAAATCATACACCTCACCAGGTGTCCCCCAAACACCTTTACCGCCCGCTCCACCTACCAACAGAATTTGAATGTTAAATAATGTAAAATGAAAAATAAAAAAGGCCAAATATGTAATTACATGCTTTAAAAAAAATATCTTTCAGGAGCACAGTTTAAAAGAATTTGATTAGAAATCATTCTGATCCATGCACTAACTGAATTGCTGACTGAACTGACACTGCAATCAAACAAATTATAGTAACTGCTGTCCAAACTGACTATTCTCCAATTCCAACTGCGTCTTATTAGTACAAGCAGCTCTAATTTTAAGATGCTCTCACTGAAAAATAATTTGCAATTTGTGTTTCAAAAACAGTGAACTCTGGCTTTTTCTTTTTAATTCATAAAGATAAGTTAGATTTACTTACAGGACAACTAAGCAAAAACTCAACAAGATTTACAATGGAGAGTCCCTGTAATTGAGACTGCTTTTTTCCCATCGCATGCTCAGTTAGTAGTACATGGGCTACACTAATATGGTTCCTGAAAAAATAATTACTCCAGTAAAAGAGATAAACTCTAACTCTGTAGAGTTTAAACACTATAGGAATTATTTATATGGTTTTAAAACATATACAAATTCACAATGCAACACTCAAATATTCCACAAGATTTGCTATTCTCTCTCTTCACTGGCTGGTACAGCTTGATAATTCAACTTTTGAACTTCTATGATCTTCTTGAATGAAGACGACTGAATTTTTCAGAAAGTTGCAGTAACCAATCCGAAAAGAAATGTTTTTTCCAGGAAATTCTCCAACTACTATATGTGCCTCCCAATAATTAAAGCCAAGACCTACAAGTTAGTGAATTATAAATTGTAGAATGCATCCACTATCAACTCTCCTTTCAGGAGTACAACAAGCTGCACTAAAATCATCTAAAATACTCCCAAAAAGAATCTTGCTTCTATTCAATCTTCCACATATTATGAGCTCTCCATTTAGGCAATTATAGATACAGTAACACATTAAACATACAGCAACTTAATAATCTCAACATACTTGTCCTTCCCCTGCTAATCTCCTCCACATTCATCGTACTCAGATAATTATTATCTACAATCTAAGCAAATTATACAGCTGTTTCAGCAAAGCTCCACATTGACTTAAAAGCCACAACAAAATGATCTAAAATCACAAAAAGTACACTAATGGCTGATGGGATGATTTGAAATTATTCAGAGGTCACTAAAGGCTTCAACCAAGATTCCAGGTTAGGGCTCGAGCAAAGAAGATTGTTATTAGTCTGCATTTAACCCAAGTTGCACTTGATATAAATAAGGGGCAAAAAGTAAAAGATATTCCATTCTCCAGTATCAAAACCTAGTGCCCACCTTTTTGAGATAGTAGGAACTGCAGATGATGGAGAATCTGAGATAACAAGGTGTAGAGCTGGATGAACACAGTCTAGGCCTGAAACGTCAGCCTTCCTGCTCCTCTGATACTGCTTGGCCTGCTGTGTTCATCCAGCTCTACACCTTGTTAGCCCACCTTTTTGAATTGGTTTTTGACTCCAGACAATGAGCACATTTCTCATGGGGCCAACCACTCCTTTATTAAAATGTTACCAAATGGAAAATATTTATCCAAAATATTAAAAAAGTGTACCCACATCTATCAATATCAAATTGCAACATAGCTAATAGTCCATTTAGATTCAGTTCGTTATGTTGCAGATACTTTACAAGTTTAAACAAGATGCTGTAAATGTTTTACAAGGAGGGAATGGCACATGTATCTCTTCTGAAAGCAAAGCTCTTCCTGGTTTGGGATTCTGTCACGTCAACAGGGGTTTCTCTCATGATCAGAGAATTGTCAATTCAACCCTGGCAGTTCTATGGATTGACCATGGTCAGGCCTTCCCCATAGAGGACATCAGAGGTGCAAGTCCTGCCGATCAGAGAACAACAGTGCATGCCAACAATGCCAGCACGAGTGACAGTAGCTGGAAGCAATGGAATCACCAGAGGCCCAGGATCATTGTGGGAATCAAAACCAAACAGACAGAAAAGCAGAATTGGGATTGTAAGGTCAGATGTAAAGACAGGCAAGGAGAAAGCTTTCACCAGCTACTACTGAGTGCTCCATAACAAGGCAAAACTACGGTGCAACATAAAGAAAACAAATCTGTCAAAGATCACAAGTTTCTACGTTCACCAATTTGAGAACAAGAGGCACGTATTTAAGGAGGTCCAAAGAAACATGGAGACACAAGGAAGAACATTTTCATGAAGTGGTTAAGATCCGAAACACAATGCAGAGTACAGTGCAGACACATCCAATTGAGGCATCAGTTGGAATTGAATCAGAATCTCAAAAAGGAAGAATGTGCTGAATTATGGAGAGAATGTGGGAAGATAAAGTGAACGGCTCATTTGGAGAACTGTTGCAGACATGGCAGATGAAATGGGCTCTTCTGTGCTCAAATGGTTCTGTAATATAATGGACATTGAAATTAGTTAGATTTCCTTTGATATGGAAGCAAATCCAAATTAAAGCACAGCCCCCAACCTTAGCATTCTCTTCCTAAAACCCTGTATTTCATTAAGCCAGGACACAATCTTTCAACATTAAGCTTTATCTAAGTAATGAATGAACTCCCATTCTGTCAGGAATTACTAATCCATGCTATTTACAAAAGCAAATTGCTGTTTCCTACCAACTGAATTAAAATACTGAATTGCACAATTTCCTGGAAATACAATTCCTGCTAAGACCTAGCAATGATATCAGCTCTGACCAGCCATTGTGTGACTGGTAGAGTAGGTATCCATAAAGGGATCAACCAGAAGTTCATCGAAAATGAGCTGAATAAAAGAACCCAATGTATTCAATTCTACCATAAAACTTTGTCAGTAACCCATGACTGTCACTTCTTACAATGTCCCCCATACACAGATCCCAAGATATATCTCTGCAATCCACAACTGAATCAATCTCCTTCAACATCCTCAAATCCAACACCGTCTTATCCTGTAATGCATCAATTTCCCTCTGCTCATTTAAAAATTCCCTTGATAGCTGTGCTTCTTCTCAAATTGTATTTGTAGTTATAGGGAGTACTAGGTCGTGGGACAGGAGTGCACTACATGGGTGCACTGGAAGCAAGAGACAGACATTGAGATAGTGCTTTGAAAAAAAGTTAATGTACTGAATAAAAAAATAAATGATTGAGCAGAATTTCATACCTAGCAAACAAATGGTAATCTAGGCAATTGCTCACCACGAAGATCTCAAATACTGCAGAATTACAAGTTAAAGAGCAAAAAAGGAAGTCATGCACAACCAGGACAACACAGCTTTGAATATTGTTACCAATGAAAGCCAACTGCAAGATACATCAGTATCAAAAGAACTTCATGGCCTGATGTTTTCCTGCTTAAAAATAAGTCGCAAGACTTTACCTCAGCACTCCGTCCACATCTTCCTCCTCAAAATGTTTTGCATAGAAAGTGCATCCTTGAATGCTAATTGCTTCCAAAATAAAACCTCAAGTACTTGCCTTTCTTGGGCAGTCCTCTTCCTTTTCCCATCCGTGACTTCCTGTCCAACATCTTCCCTTTCGGACTAGAGGGAACAACATTCCGACTACTGTCCCCATTATCACTGAGGGAATCTCCTCGCCCAGAATCCCGAGAAGAGTTTTTCCTCAAACGTCTCTTGGCTTTAGCCTTGAGTCGAGCTTCGTGAATGGACGTCTCACATGATGTCCAATTCCCATTGATTTCATTTGGCAGCATAATGGCTTGAGTCTGATCTTCATCTCCAGACAACAAGTTACTAGTACTGTTGTCAAGTTCTGAAACAGCAAGTTGAGCCATTAAGTCAACAATGGTGTTCAACATTTAGAAAAAGTACAATATAAAGTGTACTTTTTAAAGGTGGAGATTAGCACAACCAATTAACACCAGGAGCGGCTGACACATTCACCTGCATGATCTGTGACAATGATAGTCTCAACACAGCAAATGATACACCTGATTTCAACTGGCTTTAGCATGCATAGCTTCTGAGAGTTGCATCACACGCAGATATCGTCTCCAAAACTAGCATCCAAGCCAGAAGCAAATTACTGCAGATGCTGAAATCTGTATTGAAAACAAATGCTGGAGATCATCCATGGAGAGAGAGCAAGGTAACGTTGAGTCTAGATGACTCTTCATCAGAGTTGAAGTGTGGAGAGGACAGCATTTATGCTGTAGTTTGGGGGTGGGGTTAGTGGCTGTAGGGTGCAGGAGGAAAAAAGATGTTGATAGTTCAGATAAAAGGTGACCGGAATGTGAGAATGGCAGAACAATGGTGTGTCTCACTGCCAGACTGGGAAGAACAGACAGTCTCTCTGGGATGTGGGGGGTGGTGTAGAGAGAGAGAGAGAGAGAGATAGGAAGACATGATAACAGAATGTAACAAGCTAAAAGAAAGGGAAGAAATGGGAGTTGGTTCACAATTTGAAGGCGTTTAATTCAATATTAAGTCCAGATGGTTGTACAGTGCCTAGTCTGAAGGAGATGTTGTTCTTCCTGTTTGCGCTGCGATTCACTGGAACATTGCAGCATGCTGAGGACAGACACGGGCACGCGAGCAGGATGCTGTGTTAAAATGGCTGGCTATGGGAAGGTTGGGGTCATGCTTTTGCACAGATTGGAGGTGTTCTGCAAAGCAATCTCCTAGTCTGCGTTTGGTTTCTCCAAAGTCCAGTAGACCACGTTGGGTGCAGCAAATACAACACACAAGATTGGAGGAGGTGCAGGTGAAATGCTGCTTCACCTGGAAAAAACTGTTTAGGCCCTTGAATGGTGGGCAGGGAGGTGGCGAAGGGGCAAGTGTTGCACCTTCTGCAGTTACATGGGAAGATGCACGGGGATGGGGTGGCTGTGAAATCGACAAGGGTGTCCCATAAGGAAAGATCCCAGCAAAATGCAGACAGGGGAGTGAGGGGAAGATTTATTTGGTGACGATGTTCTGCTGGTGGAGTGCAATCCTTTGAATGCGGAGTCTGGAGGCCTGAAAAGTGAGGACAAGGAGAACCTGATCACGCTGTTGCGAGTCATGGGAAGGGGCAAGGGCAGAAGCACACGACAGGTCGGATGTGGTTGAGGGCCCTGTAGGCCCAGTGGATGGGAAGCCACGGTCACGGAAGCAGCAAGCCAGGTCAGCAGCACCATTTTGGAAGGTGGCATCATCTAAACAGATGGCTGGCTGAACTCGTTCTTTCACTGAACAATTTTTCCTTTAATTCATCTCACTTCTGCCAAGTCAAAGGAGTGGCTATGGGCACCCACATAGATCCCAGTTATGCCAGTCTCTTTATGGGCTATGTGGAATAATCCTTGTTCCAGTCCTACAATGGCCCCCTCCCACAACTCTTTCTTTGGTAAATCAACCACTGCTTCGGTGCTGCTTCATGCTCCCTCCTAGACCTGGAAAAATTTATTCATTTTACTTCCAATTTCCACCCCTCTAAAACGTTCACATTGTCCATTTCCAACACTTCCCTTCCTTTCCTTGACCTCTCTGTCTCCATTTTGGGGAATAAACTGTCCACTGCCATCCACTACAAAGCCACTGACTCCCATGGCTACCTTCACTACGGATACATTCTGCAAGGACTCTATCCCATTCTCCCAGTTCCTTTGCCCATGTCACATCTGTTTGGATGATGCCACCTTCCACAACAGTGCTGCTGATATGGCTTGCTTCTTCCACGACCCTGGCTTCCCTTCCACTGTGATTGACAGGGCCCTCAACTGCATCCAACCTATCACCTGTACTTCTGCCCTTGCCTCTTCCCATCACTCAACAGCATAACAGAGTTTCCCTTGTCCTCACTTTTCATCCCACCAGCCTCCGCATTCAAAGGCTCAATCTCTTCCATTTCAACGACTCCAGAACGCCACCACCAAATATTTTCCCCTCGCTCCCCAGTCTGCGTTTTGCAGGGATCGTTCCCTCAGGGACACCCTAGTCCATTCCACAACCACCAACACCACTGCACCCACCACCCCCTCCCCACGGCACCTTCCCACGTAACTGCAGAAGGTGCAACACCTGCCCCTTCACCTCCCTGCTCACCGTCCAAGCACCTAATCAGTCTTACCAGGTGAAGCAGCATTTCACCTGCATCTCTTCCAATCTTGTGTATGATAATCACTGCACACTGGAGAAATCAAAAGCAGACTGGGTGACTGCTTTGCAAAACACCTCCGATCTGTGCACAAGCATGACCCCGACCTTCCCGTAGCCGGTTATTTTAACATAGCATCCTACTCACATGCCCACATGTCTGTCCTTGATTTGCTGCAATATTCTGGTGAATCACAGCACAAATTGGAGGAACATCTTCAGACTAGGCACATTACAGCCTTCTGAACTTAATATTGAGTTCAACACAGTCAAATTGTGAACCAACTCCCATTTCTTTTAGCTTGTTACATACTGTTATCATGACATCTCTCCCCTCCCCTCATCCCAGTGAGACTAACTGCCGTGTCAAGTCTGGCAGTTAGACACATCATTGTTCTGCCATTCTCACATTCCGATTGCTTCATTTGAACTATCAGCATCTTTTCGTCACCAGCACCCTACACCCACCACACCCCACACCACCCAAACTACAGCATAAAGGCTGTCCCTTTCACACTTCACTTCAGCTCTAATCAAGAGTCATCTAGACTCAAAATGTTAGCTTGCTTTCTCTCCATGAATGCTGCCTGACCCACTGTGATCTCCAGCATTTGTTGTTCTCAGTAGCATCCAAGCTGCTCAACTACTCTTCTGTCTAAAAGAAAAGCCACAAAGCACCTACAATAGCAAAACAAAAATGATGGTGCCCACAATGTTCTAGAAGGGAGATTTGTTTTTACTAAAAGTATCAAACTCTTGGGATATATACACAATGGTACTCAAGACAACAAAATTTGTCCTCTGCGCTCATACAGCCATTAAATACAATGCAAGTGAACTATAAACTCTGCTTGCTTTTATTCTATCTCTCCCCTCTTCTTTGAAACATGCTCTTTTTGAAGCAATTAGTCATTGTCCACTCTCTGATTATGCCTTATAGAGCACTTTGGATGTTTCCTATCATAAGGACACTACATACACGCAAATTCCTGGGAGCAAATTAGCTGAGTTGGCTGGAAGGCTGGTTTGTGATGCATAGCGATGACAATAGTGCGTCCTATTGTCAGCTGAGGTTATATTGAAGGTCCCACTATCTCAACCTCACCCCTCATCCCTCACCTGAAGCGTGGTGACCTCAGGTTAAACTCACTACCAGTCAACTCTAATGAGAGCACAGCGCTACGATCCTTTGGGACTATGGTGACTTTACTTGTTAATACATACCTTTCCTAATAAGAGTATATGGTTTAGAATGGTTACCTGACAGCTTAACACTGAAGCATACTACATAGATCTGTCAGAAATCTTCTCTATATCATATTGTCTCTTTTCCTTGAGGCAACTCCATTGGCAATGAATTACAAAACATTTAGACACTTAATAAAATCTAGAGATGCATAAAGAAAATGTTGTCTGAAAGGTAGCCTCTCTTTCACTTGTGTCTCCATCAGGGCTTTGCTGAACTTTCCTCAATATAATGGTAACATGGTCAAATTTCCTTCTTACCGACCTTCAAACAGTTTCCCATTTTCCACCGCTATGCACAGAGTTGAAATCAATAATCAATCTTCTACTCACGCATCCCTCAAATAAAATTTAACGTGCAACTTACCCGTTACTCTTTCCTCCATCAAGATTTCAAAACTCAAGTGCTAAATTGACTCACTTACTTGGTATAGTCTTGCTCTATACAATCTTAGAATCATTCTAAACTCGAGTTTTAGCTTTTCACTTTCTTTTCCTAATTAAAAACTCACAACAGACAAACAGGATGGAAATATGACATGTAACCACAGCACCCGTGAATTGGTTCTGACTGACAAACTACGCACAAGTTTATCTGCTCAATTAAACCACAGGATGAGCATACCTCAATGATACAACCAGAGTGTCACCTCTACCTATTTAACCAGACACTCAGAGCAAGCCTGCTTCACAGTTGTAATAATTTTAATAACAGAGTGCGATTAAATTGCTGAACACTGTGCTATTTGTTTAATCATTTTTCAGGTTGTCTCCTTATATTGAGGAAACACAGCACTCTTAATTATGGCAGTAAAGCTTTAAACTGGTAAGTTAAGGTCAGATCTCCTATAATTTGTACAAGCATTCTGTTTAAAAAAACATCCCAACAACTTATCACTCAGCTAAAATGCTAGAACACCAGGTTAATTATTTTAGTTTTATTAAGTTGCTAATTCACACATGAACATGGAGTTCACTCTCAGCTAGTTTCAAAAACCTGTGTGTTTCAGGAGGAACAGCACAGCAATCAGGAATACCTTTCATGGTTTGCGTGGGAGCAGAAGGAGAAAAAACAGTAAAAGGTGAAAAATATGCAAAAAGAAGGAAAAAAATCAAAATAGTTTGCACTGACAAACACAAAGCATTTTCTCTGATACAGGGGATAACTACATACTGGTGAACTTAACTTCTCACTAAAAAGTGCATTCCACTCAATTACTGTTAAGCATAATATCGGCACATTTGTGCACATCACGACTTCTCACATTTTAGATGTATTAAAATTGATGACTGGAGACCTGAATTTTCACATTTATGGAGAACTCGCTTACGAATTCAGAAGTGTTGCTAATCATGAACAGAACTGTAAAGCTCTCCTGCGTGCATTAACTAAGGTTTGACAATTAAATTTTATCTGAAAAGATGTCAGAAGGGAGATTCCTTGTGCTCAGCTGGTAAATGAAAGTTATAGAGAGAAATAGTTGGAACACATTAAGCCCAGAAACAAAAAAACACATTGATGTACAAAACATTTTGTGTCCATAAACAAACGGGAAAAACTTACATCCACAAAATTTCATAGCGTGTTCATGATTTCTGCCTTGTTTTCAGGAGGAATCTCAGTTACAAAATTACATGAGCAGGAATGAAGATAATTCACCGCAACGCTTTCAATCATGGGAGAAGATAAAAGGCTGTATACAGTAGTATATGTTGGACAAAGGTCTTTAATAGGGTAGAATTAGGTTTGACTGTTTTGGCCACATTGAATAGTTTGTTGATGCTTCTTGCCTGGGTACGTGAGACCAATCAGACATAGAACTGTAGTTCCAACTCACCACCCTCAGGAAAGATGCCAAAAAGGAAGCCTAACTGTTTCAATGATGTTGAGACCTATATTCAAAAAAGGCAGACTTTTGTAAACTCAAAACATTATTTGGAGGAACAGCATTAATTTAAATATTATTTAAAAAGCTGAAGCTTAAAAAAAGTTGACTAATTTCACAGTAGAGTGGAATATTACCCAGTTGAAAGTCAAACAGAGTTTTATTTGGACAGGTCAGAATAGTGATTAAGTATGTAGAACAGTTTAATAGCCAAACAAGACACGCAACAACTATTGCTACTAAATCAACAAAAAAAAATCTAACAGTTCCAAACCAAATATGAGAAAAATCACCCACTTTTGAGGAATTCATCCAGCACAACCTAATGAGAACGGTTTTGAAGCTTATCTCACTGAACCCTTTATGCATACTAGATAGGCAGAAGCATGTGCCCATTGCTGCAACAGCAGTCTGAAATGGGAATACATGACTCCAATTGCAATGCCAGAGACATAAGAAAACCATGCCAAGTTAAACAGTGTATTGTTGGAATTAATTGGCATGGAAATCACTAAGCCCATCAATACAAGGAAACTGAAAAACATCAGGCTGGATTACTGCTGAAGTTAATAAACAAAACTGATCAAAGTTATGATCAAAACTCTAATAGTAAACGGACATGGTAAATGCAGGAAGGATGTTTCCGATGACGAGGGAGCCCAGAACCAGGGTCATAGTTCAAGAATATAGGGTAGGCTATTTAAATGAGGAGAAATTTCCTCAACCAGAGAGACTGGTAAGCCTACGGAATTCTCTGCCACAGAAAGTGGTTGAGGCCAAAATGTTAAATTCTTTTCAGGAAGGAATTGGATACCTTTCTTAGGGCTAAAGGGATAAAAGGATATAGGGAGAAAGCAGGAACAGTGGACTGAGTTGGATGATCAGCTGTTGTACTAAATGACATTGCTGGTTTAAAGGGACAAGTGATCTATTCCTCCTCCTGTTTTCCATGTATCTGTGAGATATTCATTAATGTGGTTATGTTATTTTCCAGACTAACTTGAGCACTCAAAGTGAAATATATCACAAAGCAAACTCTTCAAAAATGGATATGAATATAACTTTACCACAGAGGTAAAGATCAAGACTTCTGAAAAAAAGTCAATTTATTTTTGGAGAAATTTCAAATTTCCATTAAATGAGACAGGCTGCTTCTGTATAAACAGCTTTGACAAAATATGGTGTTATGCAGAAGCCTGTTCAGACAAAAATTAACAAAAACCACGACAAAGATTCACTCTCCCTACCTGTAACACACAGTGGCAGTGTGGACCATCTACGGGATGCACTGAAACAACTCACCCAGATTCCTGAGACAGCTCCTTGCAAATCTGCATCCTTCTAGGTAATAGAGGTCAAGGACAAAAAATACATAGGAGCACCACTGATCATCAGCTGCAGGTTCCCCTCCGAGCCATCGACCATTGAGAGTTGGAAATTCATTAAGGTAAAATCCTGGAATTTCCTTCTCTAACAGCACTGTGTGTACCCGAACGTCATGTACTACAGCGACTCGAGAACACAGCTCATCACTACCGTCAAGGGGAATCAGGGATGGGCAACAGATGCTGGCATAGCCAGTGAGGTTCACATCCAATGAAAGGATAAAAAGAGAAAAAAGTCAATATTAGATGAGGTAACAAAAGGCTTGGTCAAACAGATAAGTTTTAAGGAGTGCACAGGAGAAGATGGCGAAGGCAGAAACAAAAAAGGTTTAGGAAGGAAAATCCAGAATTTAGGGTCTAAAAAGCCAAAGGCTCAGCCGTGAAGGCATGTTCAATGTTTGTGAAGGGCTGTAAAGGTAGAATAAATAATTGAGGTAATGTGAACAACATCACATAGGAATTTAATCAGTGAGATTTTTTTTCAGAGGTCTTTGAGGACAACGGAACAATATATAAATGTTAGGAAATGAAACGAACGAATGGAACTTGGTGCAAAGCATTGGTACAATCAGGTATGGAGGTACTAAAATACATGAAGTTGGGAAGCAGTGAAAATGGAAGATTACAGTCTTGAAATTTCCAGTGTTTAACTGGGCTCGATGCCAGGCAAGCAGACTGGGAGCACATGATGAAGTGTGAGAGACATGACCCTCTGTCACAGAATATAAAATTAAATTAGCTTTAAGAGCCATGCCTGTCCCTCATTTTAAAATGGTTAGAAGATCAATCCCTCAACCCATCAGTCCTATTATTTGTCCAGCAGTGACAGACATGAGTTGCTACACCTGCTGGGAAACAAGAACTATATATGTCATGAATATATTATATGATCTGTTTCACCCAATCACAACATTATCACAATATATTAACATAAAATGTTATTAAAGCAAAAGAATCTCAATTACACCAAACAACTTGGTTCAGATAGTTGCAAATTCCAGTCTACCTTCAGGAATTGGGCCAAAACTACCATGCGTTATTGAAGTAGCGCCGCACGGTTAGCGGTGAGCCCAGTTTACCTACACCAGTCTACAATAAAGGCCACATGATATTATTCAAAGGCAAAATACAATAGAACAAACTCCTTCAACCAAAACCATAATAGCCATCATGGCAATTACTGCCATCTGTATTACATAACAGACACAGCACACTTTTACTTTAAACTGCAAAGTTCTTCAATACAAGGTTGCTTTCCCTCCCACAAATGCCACAAACAACTTTGATATATAATGCAAGATCCCCTGTGATGCACAGTTCATTTTAATTCTTGAAAATAAAAGGCCAATTTTGTGTTTTTTTTGGAACGGGGGGGGGGGGGGGGGGGGGGGGAGGTGGTGAGAGAAGTTACCAACTCGTTGCATCTTAAAATCGTGGATTAACACTCAAGTAAACGTGTGCAACATAGCGGCGATTAAAGGGTTAAAAACATCAATACCTTCCGAAACAAAACAGTGACAGAAGAAATTCAATTCTCAAAACCACCAAATACACACATGACAAGGAAAGACACCAAAGAACAGAACACTCCATTACAGCACGTGGCAATGCAAAATGCTTCCCTGGAACTTTTAAAGTGGAAGTACTTCTGGAAGAAATATGGCAACACACGCGGCATTTGAAAACAAAACAAAAAACTTATTCGAAGAGATGCAATGACGGTTAAAGCACACGAAAATTAAGAATTTCAGTCCCAGAATAGATGCTCGCCTTGCACATCGTGATCACAATTCTACTTGTTAATAGAAAATCATTTTAAATAGAATCTCTGCATTAAAAAAAAGCCATTGCAATGAACAGCCAGACCTCCTCAGTCTCAGTACCTGCTGCAGAGTTCCTGAATTTGCTCTCTGCCTCTGTTGCCATGTTGCTGGAAGGTCTGAGCCCTAGATCTCAGGGAATGGAGTGTGTGTTTTCACAGGGAGTGAGAGCGTGGGCTCAGATGGTGGTGTGTTGAGGGGGAACTGGAGTCTCAGGAAGTGCGAGAAAGCGAGTGTTGTCTCAGAGTGTGGGCGGAGGCAGTGATTTCCCTGGGAGAGTGGGCGGGGAGGGTGAAGGGAGTGATTTCTCGGGGGGGGGGGAAAAGCTGGTTCAGGAAGAGAAAGGTGTGCGCTGTATCTGGGAGGGGTGGTCCTCCGACGGTGATGGGGGCTGTTGTCCTTGGGGTGGAGGGTTTTGTCTCTGTGAGCGTTGTTTGTTGTCCCGGGGAGGGGGGGGGGGGG